TGCCGTTGAGTTTGGTCCACTCCCGTTTCCTTCGGGACACGGGAATCTTATTAAAAATTTACAAATGTAAGGTCTTATATAGAATAAAAGAATAATTTAGTTTCATGTTAATTAAATTTATATAAAAATATTTCACTGATATAAGAATACAAACAAATATGACGAAAAATATATGAGTTTATAATATACAGTTGTTAACTGATTACTGCCATGGGATTGATTGTCATTCTTCGTTGTCGTCGTCGGTTTCGTTTTATGTACATGCCAAAGATTACATGAATAAATTGTTTACGAAATCTTTCTGATACAGTTATATATATATAAAATGAACTCTAAATAAATACAAAGCAAGATATTAATATAAATTCAAAGATAATCATTTATACTAACCGCAAAATAGGAATAAAATGTATTAATTGTTATACTTCTAAGTAATTGTATTTGTGCATAACTATAAGAATCTTTACTAACGTTTGCGTACAGATTAATCATATATGCAATAATATATGGCACAATAACACAGAAATTAAAAACAACTTGTACAAGAACCATGACTGTTAATTGCTTGTCTAATTCACGGCGAACGAGAGGAATTGCACGATATGCTAATTGTGTTACATTATGATAAGCTAATGAACCCGATAGAACAGTGATTAATACCGGTAGACTACTGATTAAAACAAGAGTAAATCCATATGTATTATAATTTTGATAAATTTTATTAGATATTCCACAAATATAATCGCCAGCCGGTGATAATACTACATAATTTGTGTAGATTAATACTAAAATTCCATGTAAAATCCAAAATAACATAACTATTGTGAAACAACGATAAGCAAATTTAATATTACTTAAACGTTGTAAACGAGGATATGAACATGTAGTTAAATATTGATCAATTGTTGCTAAGCACATACATGTAAATGAAGTAACTGTACATACTTGAAAAACATACATACGAATTTTACAATAAGCTAACGATGCAACTGACCAGTCAATACTAAACCAAAGATTTAATATACGAGGTAATAAACTGGCTAATAATTGCCCTATATTCAAACATGACATTGCTTTTATATAGAATGCACATGAATTTTCTCGAAAAATTTTAAGACTAAGAAGAACAAGAATATTGAATATATTACCCAATATACCAATAACAAGAATAAATACGCCAACATACATAGAAAAATATAGTGAAATATTATTAAGATAATCAGTCGATGACATTATGATAAAGTAACTATTTTCTTCTAAAAAAGAAAAATAATTCTTTCTCCTATATATATATATATATATACAGATGAACAATTAATGTACTTCAAATTTATAATTATCTATCATGAAAAACTATAAATAGCCAAATTTACTCTATTATATCATATATTTTATTTGACTTCTATATTTTTTTCTTTTAATCTTCAAGTGCGATCTACTTAGTCAAAATATGTCACGTTATAAATAGACATGAAATGTCACATTCAATATTAAAGATAAAACTCATTATATTTAAATATCTCTCATTTAAATCATTAAGATCAAGCTATTCAAAGATATGTCAAAATATCATAAAGAAATATAAATAGAATAATAGATTAATTTATTGATAAAATTAAATATTCAGACATATATTAAAACGAACTTCTATATACACAATTATGGTGATACATGATTTGCAGGTAATGTTTGTCGACGATGCATTCCAAATAATACATAAATTAATTGTCGACGAAATCGTTCTGATACACATACATAAATGTACAGTGAACTCTATAAAGAAAATGAAAACTAGTTTTTGTTTTAAATTAAATGATGCTTACTGCAAAATGTAAAAAATATATATTAGAAAATACTGTAGAACTGAATTGTAATTGTAAAAAAAGAATAGGATCTTGAATTGGTATTGAACCACGCATAATAATATAAACAACGATATATGGTATAGTTGTGATAGAATTGAAAGCAACTATTACAAGAACCATAACTGTTAATTGTTTGTCTAATTCACGTCGTATCAATGGTACTATTTGATACATTGATTTTTGTACATTACGATAAGCTAATAAACTGAATAATACTGTAATAAAGATAGGAAAAAAACCAGCAAGTATAATAACAAAACCATATTGAAAATAATGTAAAAATATTCTATTTGTAACTGTACAATAAAGTTCATTGTTTGGTGATAATCTAACTATATCTATATATATTAGGAAGGGAATACCATGACATATCCATATAATGAAGTATAAAGAAGTTAGAATACGAGCTAATTTAATATTACTTAGTTGTTGCCACCAAGTAGTAGAACAAGTAGCAAAAAATTGATCCATTGTTGCTAAACCCATACATGTACATGACATAAGTGTACATAATTGACGAATAAAAATTCGACATTTACAATAAAATACTGATGTTCGTGTTAAGTCAATATCAAATCCTTGTATCATAATTTGAGGAAATAAACAAAATAGTAATTGACCCACATTGAACAATGACATAATAGTTAGATAAAATGCACATGATTTTTCTCGAAAAGTTTTAAGACTAAGAAACACAATAATTATAAGAATTTCACCAAATACACCAATGATAAGAATTGGCATACCCATATAAATAGCTACTTGTTGTATACCAGTATATGAATACATTGAAGTATTTAATGCCGACATTTTAAATTTATTTTCGATTGTTTTTCTTGACAACAATATTAAATAATAGTTTGAGAGTGTGCATGCTATCATAAGATAGACTCTTATTATAGTTTAATCTTTTATATCATTATATAGATATTCATGATTTACTAATTATACTTAATGAGCGATTTACTATCACGTAGTATGGATGATTGCTTTAATTTTAGTTCTAAGAAATTTTTGAGTTGATTCTTTCAATAAAAGCACTTCTTTTTGTATCCTTTAACCTTTATATAGATCGAGGAATATATGATTTGACTGTTATCTGACTACATCCTGCGAACAATACTGTAAATTATATACTGCTGTTCGTTAAACAGTAGTAATTATTTACTTTAGAAGTAAAGAAAAAATCAAGATATATGTGTGCATAAACAAACAAACTACAATGTTTAATGTTGAAATAAATATTTTTGACAATAAAGAAAAATGATATATTAGCAATCATCAATAGTTATGGTTGTGGTTCTACTTCATTTGCAGCTAATTGTAACCGTTTACAATGTTTAAAAACCTTGACGAAAAGAACATAAGTTAACTGTCGACGAAATCGTTCAGATACACAAACGTATATATAAAATGGACACTATAATAAGAAAAGAATTTAAATACAACAATCTTATATCAATAATTGATACTTACTGCCGGATAAAAATAATATATTGAGTAACTTATAATTTGTACCAATCTGAATTTGGCTAATACAACAGGATCTTTACTTGTATTTATATATGGTCCCATGATACTTACTATATTATAACATAGAAGAGAAAAAGTATTAAAAATAACTTGAACAAGAAGCATGCTTGTTAATTGTTTGTCTAATTCACGTCGGACGAGAGGTACAATCCGATAAGCTATATTTTTTGTATTATAATATGCTAAAATTCCAAATAATGCTGTAAGAAAATTAGGTAGAAATCCTTGCATTATAATTTGATGAAAATTAGTATTATATCGATCAAAAGTAGGATTTGTATTCATACAACTAAGTTTGTTTGTAGTTAATGAAAGAACAATATCATAATATATTGGATAAAGAATTGAGAAAATTGACCAAAATATAATAGTTATTGCAGTTAAATATCGAGTTGTTGTTATATTACTCCATTTTTGCCAACGTACACGTTTACAAGTTGCAAAGTATTGATCTATTGTAGCTAAACACATACATGTAAGTGTTATTAATGAAAATGTTTGAAAAAGATAAATTCGAAGTTTACAATAAGGTCTTGACATGATTGTCCAATCAATAGAAAATCCAGAGATAACAAAACGTGAAAGTGCTCCTAGCAATAATTGACCAACATTTAAACAAGATACAATAATTAAATAGAATGAACATGTATTTTCTCGAAATGTTTTTAAACTGAGAAATACAAGAATATTGAGAAATCCACCAGGAATACCAATAATAAGATTGAATCCATTTAAATAAATAGCAACTTGTTGTGAAGCATAATCGAATGATGAAGTAGATGTAGACGCCATTTGAATGCTTAAAAACTAACACTGATAAATATTAGTTCTCATCATTTTATATTTGAAGACTAGTCTACATCCTTGCTACCAATTAAAGATTCTATTCTTTCACATAATAACCATTAGGTAGAGGATCATATACTATAATTTCCAGGTTCTATTCAGAACTTTGACGAGACAGATATTTTTAAAGCATGATTTTTAATGATACTTCCTTTCAATCTTAATTGAAATTGCTTATAATGAAACTGGGTATTCGAATATCGATAGATACCAAATTGTTGTTACATAAAAAAAAATATCATGCTTTTTCCGTTTCGTATTTCTATATCATCAGGAGAATATGAATGAGTACATTTCTATCATCACTTTTTTTTGTAGAAAAATCATTAAGACTACAAAGTATTAATCCGAATCATGTGAATCTATTATATAACTGTTAAGAGACTAATTTTCATACATTCAAATATATCAGGAATATCATTTTTATTTTCAATATCTATATGGCATCTTTCTCTTTTCAAAAAAAAAAACAAAACAGATAACAAAGCATTTCTCTCTTATGAACTTAACTATACAAGAGTAATAAATGCAACTACAAGAAGAAAACAAACATGCACACAACATATATGAGATTTCATATAATACACAACAAAACAAAATAACTACAATGACTATAAGCTACAAAATCATTTGGTAACAAAAACCATCGGAAAAAAAAGTTCATTTCTTTTTTTCTTATTTTAAATTGAACTGTTAATACTTGTACTTATTTCGTAAGTACTAGTTTTAATTTCTGTTCCATTTGTTAATATTTGACTTCCATCAATAATTGTTACTATTGGTATTTGAACTTTATTTATTTGTTCATCATTTTTATTAATTGATCGAAATAAATAACAACATGATGGAAGAATGAAATTAATTAATATTAAACATATAATTGATTGATACATTAATGAATTACGTATGATACGAAAAACATATGATTGTATAGGATAACAATACAAAACCAGTAAAGAAATCATTAATGAAAATATTATACGATTATAGTTCCATTTCGAACTTAATCTATTATAACATGTATGAATTAAAGTATCAAGAAATAGAATTGATATAATATATAACCAAAGTCCATTGGCAAAATTAACTGTTAAATTATGAAATAAATATAAACAAGTTAATGTACCTGTTAATAATGCAAGTAAATGAGATATAATGAGAAGACTATTTTTCAATGAAATAAATGGAATCAATGTACTAATAAAACTACATATGATTAATAAAAGTATTAATAGATATATTTCAACACGTATTTGTTCTAAAGATTCATAAGATGCATAGAGCATACTGTATGGAAATACATCAGGTAAAGGACTTTCATTTGCATAAGTATACATATTTTCCATTGTTCGAATATCTTCACGATCACCTAAAAAGAAATAAAATAATATTTGAATTAAGATAAATAATTATCTAACCTTTAATAGATGTGGTTTGGCAGTAGAATCTTGATGCTATTATTGTTGAATGATTATGTCCATCGGATACAACTAAATCATTATGTGAAAATGGTGTTATACGAAATTCTAATGGTTCTTTTCCTGTTTTTATAACAGTAATATTTTCATGATCTAACCATAATAATTTAAAATTATTTGCTCTTGTTTCATTTTGACATTGTTGAATTAAAGTATTCATAGCTGATTTAGTTTGTTCATTTTCATAATTAATTGATTCAGATATTGTAAACATAGTAACAGGACCAATATCATAATCATCGACTTGTGATTGCATATGTGCTCGTAATGAATATGCATCACGTGGAAGAAATTCATCATCAAATAAACGTGTATCAACTGAAAGTCCAAACCAAATACTTGATATAAGAAATACAATAAATATTAAACATAAAATAGCAGAAAGAAATGTTTTCATAATTGAATTATTATTTAATATTGAATAAATTTTATTTTTTAATAAATTAAATTTATTTGATTTTTTCGTTCTATTTGTATAATAATCGTTTGATAAAGGAAAACAAAATAATGAATGACGACGTGTTGAAATACGTTTTAATGTTATAACAAGACATGATGAAAAAAATGTTGCATGTACTAAATAATTCATTAATATATATAATACTAATGTTAAAGAAATAAGTGTTGTTGTTAACATTGGTGAAAGAGTTGAAAATATTACATAAACAATTGATATAATTAATGTTGATATCATAAAATATGGATGAGTTGTTTCAATAATTGATGAAAGAATTTTTTCAATATCAATTTCAGATGAGACATCAGTTATTGTAGTTAATTGTTCTTTAATTATTCGATGATATTCACCACATACAATTGAAAAACGCATACAATCAATGACTAGAATTCAATCATTAGATTCTATAGAATTTTTGTGTGAAAACTTACTAGCTATAATAAAGACCAGTAAAGCCATTGGCTCAATAATTTGAATACGAAATAGTGATAATATACCAAATGTAGCGCCAGTTGAAAGCGCAATACTGAATAATCCACAAATAGGTAAATAACCAACTGATGTATGAGTATTGCCTTGAATACTTAGAAAGAAACAAACAAGAATAAAGAATATGACGATCACTAAGCTCATATATAATCCTTCATCATGTGCTTTTTTCATAATAGTATCTTTTATAGCTGTTGATGTTGATGGTAATATATCAATTAACATCGATTTATATTCTTCATTAAGAAACCGTAATGCTTCACGTTCCCAACGAATTGCTAATTGATACATATCCGGTGTTGAGGTATTTAACGTATAACGAAGACGTAAAACAGGTACATAAGAAATAATTTTTTCTAAAGGCTGTTCGATATTTATTTTTGCTGTAGTATGTTTATCATTTTCTTGTTCATCTTCATCTTCATCATAATCATCAGTAATTGGTTTACGATTCGTCAGATTATAATCTTTACCAAACATAAATGCTGGTATACCATTAGCACCTGATGGTAAATGAACATAATATCCATTTTCAGGAGGAGCTAAATGTGATATTTTTTCACGAAATTCGTCAGTTAAAATATAATTTCCATCAATTGCACATGCATGATTCATTTTTGTACATAATAATGGATAAGTATATTCAAGAGAATCTTTTTCATAAGGAATTCGAATATATTGAAGTTGTTGATCTAATAATCGAATCTAAATAAATGTTAGATTTAAAGTTTCGTTACAATCGATATACTTCATTTTTCTTTCCTACCTCATCCATAATTTCATGACTAAGCATATTTGTTTGATTAGAATCTTTTTCAGTTGTATTTATTTTTCTTTTCATAATAATATCTAATCCTGGATTAAGATTTAATTGTTGATGCATACGTAATTCAGTATCATTTCCAAAAATTCGTCTTAATTGAAAGGCATTTCTCATTGCTGGACCATTAGGCATTAGAAAATCATTTTGATCAAATGGACGTATTCGCATAAATAATAGAAAACAAACAGTTAGTGCAATAGTAATAAATGAACTAATCGCAAGTATTGACCATGAAAAACGTATTAGAAATCTTGAATAAATATTTGCAAATTGTTTCCATTGTAAATTCGTTTTTTGTCGAATTGAATTCATACGCATTTGAAATCGGTTTGTTTGTTTCATTGTTGAATCAATAAAGATACATATAATAATCAAAAAAAAATTTCTAACCTAGAATTAAATAATAGAAATATTAATAACACAAGCAGATTTTCACTAAGTGTACGTTGTTATTGTTAAATTGTTTCCTATATAAGTATATTTCTTATCCTTATAATGGAATGTTTATAAGGAGAAAGATAAAAGAAAAAGAGCTAAACATTTTATCACGTACGTATATTTTTCAAGAATCGTTATAATGAATTTTATGTATGTTAACAGTGAGTGGGCGTAGACATTACAGATTAATTTGAACTCAAGAGATAAGAGAAAAGTACACATCTGGTTAGTACTTTTTTGTTTATGATAAAAAGAAAGAAAGTGCACCGTATTGAGTCGAAATATATCATACGTATTTTCAGCTTCGATTATTAGCGGTAATGTAATATTAAAGCCTAATGTTCGTCACGAATCATTTAGCAAAAGAAGGAATGATGTCATTATACATAATAATACAGGAGCTGATGATCTTAATTTGTTAGAATACATTATGCGTAATCATACCAAAAAAAACAGAGACTGTTCTTTTATACATATTATGATTTTATTCTGTTTAGTTTTAGCTTTCTATTTATACAGAAATTTTTTTTCCATACTAAACCTGTTTGAGTGCAGACATACATGAGAATAATGGCTACAATATCTTTCGATCACTAATACAAAGAAAAGAAAAAAAAAGTGACAATAAATATAGCTGTGTAAAAATGGTATGAAAACATCACGCCATACATCATCCATTTACTTTACTGTATGTACAGAACAAGAATAAATATAATTCCAGTCAAAAGAAAATGCACGCGACGACATCAAATATTATATTAAATATGTCTGCTTACATACCGATAATAAATCTACCACTTGTTTTTCAAGTTATAATATCAACTTAAGAATCGTGATGTTATTTCGTGAGAATGTGTTCGTAAGGTTAAGTATCCTCTATGAATATGTATAAACAAATGAAGAGAGAAGAAAGAAAATTCAATCGCAATCGGTCATTTTCAAATATACGATATTCTTTCGTTTCTGTAGAATAAAATTCTTTGACCTGGATATCAGTATTAACTTTTATTCATTTCGATGTCTTCCATTGTTTACATAATTTTTTTTGTTTATTTGTTCTTGGATAATTTTTTTTTTATTTTCTAATTCTGATACATGAAAAAGAAAGACAATTGAGTTATGACAAAAAAAAGGAATTGTGAAATAAGGGGAACAAGAGATCGAGAAAATATGTTAAACTATTATCTAAATGACAATACAGGCTCTTTTTAAATATTTAGTCTCATAAAAAAAAAAGAAGCAAAAGGAAACGAGGAAAATAACGTTTTTAAGCATTTGGTATTGGTGTACCCAGTGCTGGCAGACCAGATGTACCAAGAGCAGCACGATTAAATAAACCAGAACCTCGTTTTAATTGTTCCTGAAAGTAACGAAAATAATTTTTTATTGAAAAATCAAAAAGAACTTGAAATATTTACCCCTGTTTTTAAATAATTGTATGCATCATGCCAATTACTATGAATTGGTGTCATAGGTAATGTACCAGCACGAAGTCCACTTCGATTAATTGCTGTTACAGTTGTTACAACACTCAATGGATAGGTAACAGTTTGAGCTACAAACTAAAAATATTAAATAAATAAAATATATATTCTAACTGTATGTATGTTTATTAAAATATACTTACAGCAGCAATATATTCATATAAGGAGACTAATTCATTTTGTGATGGTAATTGTGTTTTAAGCAAATGAACAATAACATTTGCTATTACAATTGTTGAAATTTCAAGTAACCATCGAGGAATAAGTCCACTATTTTATATAAAATTGAATTAAAAAGAAAAAATAGAAATAGAAAAATTTGCATACACAAAAAATCCTCCAATTCCTTGATGTTGATAGATTTCTTTAAAATTTTGAAATATATTGAGTGATGAATATGCTTTTTCACCACCAACAAATTGACCCATACACCGGACAGCCATGACTAAATATCAATGATATAGATATATATCTATCAAACAAAGATAATTTCATTCTACCTTGAAATGGATGTGAAACCAAAATTCCCCACGATTGACATCGTACTTCTCGTAAAACCTTTTTAAAATAAAATCTATTAAATATTAATCATAACATTTTTCATAACATACTTTTTGTGTACATTTGTTCCATGTTGGTTTTTCTTGACTACTTGGTACTCGTGGTTCAACAGGACCAAGAAGCTATGTAATGAAAAAAAAACAAAATTGTAAATTACTATTCAATATTTTATCATCTACTTCATCAACTTTTGTTGTTGTATACCAGCAAACAACTTTAGATAAAAGTGAACAACCAAAACCACGATATAAACCAAGAAAACCATCTGTATTATATATATATTGAACTAAATTAAAAGATTTTATTAATATAATTAAAAATAAAAAAAGAAATTTAACTAACGATAACGAAATACATTTGGATAGTAAAGAGTTTCTTTTCCAAATAAATTTTTTCCTCGATATGCTGGTAATGGTTCATAACCCATCTAAATATATATTTAAATTATTTTTCATAGAAATTCATTTTTCCTATTGCTTTTAATTATCTTACTTGCATTAATACTCGTACATAAGCCAATGGATGTCCTATAGCATGTTGAATAGTTGTTGTTTTTAATACAGCAAATGTTGGATTAGCTGAGTTTGCTGTTGAAGTAAATCCACCTGTCGGTTGTTGACGAACTGGTGTACCGGGTTGTAAAGGTGGTTGAATAGGTGTAACAATACGTTCAGCTGTCTGTAATATCGATGTAGGTGGAAGTAAAGGACTATTTTCATCATTTTGAATATTGTCAGTAACTGAAGAATCCTGTAGAAAAGAAAACTATTTATTAAAGATTTATTTGAAAAAATAAAGAACATACATCAGTTCTTGGTGTTGTTATAGGTGGGGTTGTATCCATGATTAATTAGTCAATTGAAATGATTGAAAGAGTGTATGAGTAGATACCACAAAGTGTTTAGTATGTTGGTAAATGCTTGTTTATTTATTTTTTTTGGAATTTTTGAATTTTTGAGAAAAATTAATTATTATAAAGAATATTGAGGAAAGATTGAGAAAATATTGATTTTTTCTATAATTTTAATTAAAAAAAATATACTATCTGTTAGCGCCATCTACGTGTTACTCGGGTAACGTATGGGTAATTGACATAAAAATGGAGATAACTTATAATTGATCCATGTATTCATAATCATTTTAAAAGGATGTTTGGACTGGAAATAAATCAATTAGCTAATTTACTTAAACAAGCCGATCGAAATGGTGGTGATGATTCCGATAGTGATGAAGATCAAGTATATTTACAAAACATATATTCTTTTATTTTATTTTGTTATACTAATTTATTAAATCTTTTTTAGCCAAAGAAAAATACAAATGCTCATTTAACTCCTGCAAGTCTTGTTTCACAAGCACAAAAAACGACTAATACAATTAAAGACGCAAACTCTACACCAATAAAAAGTATAATTTAAATATATATATATATACCAAATTATCGTTTTCTTTTGTTAGAACCATCAACTGTTAATTCAAAAGATATTTGGCAAATTGATGAAGTACCTAATAATGATGTAAAAACACATGATGAAGTAGATCAACGACCACAACCTGAGTAATTCTTTGTATATATATCTTGTATCATATTTTTTTATTTCTTAAGATATGAAATGCATTATAAACAACGTATTACAACAGAAGATGTCTTCCTTCAAATGGGCAATAAAAATCCTTCATCAGCTAGTTGTGAAGATCTTGTCGTAAGTTATTGCACTAAATCGAAGAATACTAGTCAATTGTAATTAGTTAAATAGAGATGACAGAATAACAAAAATCGAATAAATTCAATCGGGAGAATTATATATTGTTGATGACATTTCAATTCTTATCATTGAAAGACAAAATAAAAGCAATGACTAATATTTATTTTTCATATATTATAGGTTAACATTCAATTACCTGATACAAAATTAGCTGATATTATTTTGGATATAACAAAAACATTTCTTGATTGTCGTTGTCCGAAATAGTAAAAATTTCGATTTTCTTTTTATAAGAATTCTTTATTTTTATTTTGTCTAGTCGTTTAACATTATCATTACCTCATCCTGTTGACCCAGATAATTCTCAAGCTAAATGGAATAAAGAAAAATCTTCACTTGAAGTTACATTAAAACTTAATCGAGAATATGATGACTTTAATTTATAAATTTCATTTACATAAATAAATCAAATGTTTTTTTCATATGTTTAAATAAATTTCAGATTATATTTTAATGGCAACTAATAATAAACGATGTTCATCAGGTACTGCACCAACAACACGTGCGCAATCTCTTAGTTCTTTGAAACAAACTTCAACATTATCTCGCTCGAAAACATGTGGATTTACCGGTACAACATCATTAAAATCTAAACTTGAACCACTTCCACAAAATAAAACTCCAGATTTAAAAGCAGAAACACTTGTAAAATTTATTATTTCATCATTTATTTGAAAAGATGTTATCTATATAGCCTGAAAATGCACATAAACTTCATCCAGCAATGGTAAATGAACTTAGTTTTCATGCTCGAAATCTTACTACAACACCAATTTTATCTCAAGTAAAAGAATGATCTTCTATTTTTAAAATGGCATATGTTATTCCTTATTTTATTAGTTTAATAAACTGCAAATATTGGATCTTTCATGTAATAATCTAACTCATATTGATAATTTAAGAACTTTGACGGTAAAATAAATTTTAATAATATATATATATAAATAATAGAATCATTTTATTTAGAATTTACGTGAATTGAAATTATATGGAAATAAAATTGAACAAATTGAGAATCTTGATTGGTAAATTTTTTTAAATTCTTCGTTTGTGTAGAGGAATAAAACTAAAGAATTTGATTTTAGTTTAACTCAATTACAAACTCTTCAATTGCAATATAACGATATTGAAAAAATCGGTAAGGATAATATATTTTCTCCTATATATTTTGTTCATTTATTTCAGGTTTTGGTCTTGTATATTTAACTCGTTTACAATTACTTCGTATAGATTCTAATAATTTAACATCTATTCGATCAGAAGAAATATCAAAATTATCACAACTTAAAATTCTTGATGTATCCGATTGTTCAATAGAAAATCTCGATGTAAATTCCGATTTATTTGAATAGTAATTCTTATTATCTAGAGAAATTTTATTATTCTAGTTTATCAATTCACTTCCATCTATAACAGAATTACGTGCAAATCATTCTTATATAAGAACTTTACCAAATCAAATTCGTAATCTTCGATTTTTAACTGATCTTGATTTATCAAATAATCAACTTACAAATATAACATCAATAAAAACCTTATCAGCATTACATTTACTTCGTTTAACAAATAATCATATTCAAGATATACAAATAATATCACATCTTACGCATCTAAGTGAACTTTATTTAGCTAATAATCAAATTACTTGTTTACCGAATTCATTTCATAAACTTATTGAATTACAATGTTTAGATATATCAAATAATTCTATTCAATCTTGGAAAGATATTGTAAGATTTAAATTTTGACTTGTTGCTAGAGAAAATATTTTCTATTAGGATGTACTTGGTCGAATGAATTCACTTTTTCTGTTACATATAAATGGAAATCCTTTACTATCCGATGAAGAAAATTATATTGATAAATTATCAAAACTTTGTTCATCGTTAGAAATAATTGATAATGTAAGAAAGAAAAATTTCATTTATTTATTACATATTTGAATTATTTTAAAAGGTTAGTGTACAAACCGGTGATATAAATATTGCTCCAACTGAATCATGTATATTTAATATTTTTGTTTAACAAAAAAAAAACAAGTTTTCTATTTTAAGATGAACAATTAATGAATATTGATAAAGAATTAAAAGATGTTGATCAATCACTTGAAAAATCCATTACAAATATTCAAGACCAGTATGAAATATTAATAAATTTTCATATCAAACTTTAAATTCTATTTAGATTTCATACAATTATAAACGATTTACAAAAACTTAGCGAATGGTACAACGATGAATTACCAACTAATCATTCACCAGAAACAAATACATCACATAGAAATTCGTAAATTATTGTTATGATTTTTTATTAACTAAAAAATTTTTGTTTCTCTATCATTTATAGAAAACATCGTCTTTTTCAAGCATTGACATTCAGTGAAGAAAATTATCAAAACTAAAATGTAAAAATTGTTACGAAATTATATGTCATAAAGTTCATTTTATGTTTCAAAGATAAATAATTTTAATTGCAAAATAATTGACCATTCATTTATTTGTATAAAACAGGAAATTATTAAAAACAGATGAATTGTTAGCACGCATAGATATACGAAACAAATTGCAATTTATTCGCATGCATACATTTACGATTTTTTATTATCAGGGCAGGAAAAGTAAATCGTGTAAACATAAAACATACGCAGGAATAAACATAATTCTACCTAAAACGTGATGAAGTAGACAGTATATATACACTTGATATTTTATTCTAAAAAAGAAGAATTATATTAAGATTTCTTTTTATAATAAATTCTACGGAAATATTAGTTGCCACTTTGAACATCAAATAAAAATCTTCAAGAAGAACATTGACGTTTATTTTCTTCCGGTTAAATTGTATTGTGTGTGATTGAACTCATTGTCATAAGATAAAAATAAAATATATATATATATATTGCTAGTAATTTATTTTCATATAAAATATAATCTTGTCAATATATATAAATGTCAATCTGATAAAGACGTGTTTGTTTTTGTTGCTCATGTGAATGGAAAAAAATATATACATGTTTGATTTCTAATCTAATTATAATGGAATAAAATGACTCGAAGCATTAATGATACAACAAGACAGATGAATAATAAATCAGTAAGTAAGTATAGTTTTTGCCATCGACGATGTATAACAATGAGAAAAAAGATAAGACAACATGATTTATAAACAACAAAAAAAAAGCCATAATAGAAATTGAAAGAAAACACGCCAGCTGCAAAATAGATTAAGATTTATAGATTAAGAATACTTCTCTTGCAAGATTCTATTATCGAAGCGCTAGTATTCAGAACTCAAAAATTTTTCATTACGAGAAATAGACAGAGTCTTTAAGTAGAAAACAGAAAGAAGATGATTATCTAGTGTATGCGCCTAGATGCTTCATAAGATAGTAACATTCGAACTATATATTCCTGGACATACAATCCCTTTTTTTTCTACATGTTTGTACGCTAAATTCCATCAAGTTCTGTATATAGTACGTGAGTATTTATAGTTATACATCATATGATAATGTTAAATATATACTATTAAATCATTTTTTAATATTCATAATCGACAAATAGGTTATTAGAAAATTTTTATTATATATTACAAGAACTTTCATTGTGTTATATATCAAATATTTATTTATTTCAATTATTAATCGGTTAAAAAGTAAATTCTATGTCAATAAGTACGTAATTATTAATACATTGAGCTAGTCATTATAAAAATATTTATAGAAAAAAAGGAAGTGCTTTTATTTTATTCTAGAGAAAGGTAAAAATTTTCAAAACTCATCAGACTAGTTTTAGAAGTCAGAAGTTTACGTATATATTTTCCCGTCTTTCCTTTTATATCATTCGAGATGATCTATCATTGAAGCAAGTTTTAGTTCTGATAGGACCAACTATTTCCGGTACGAGTTTTTAAAATAGAAAATCCATATGATTTCTCAAAAAAAACAACATTCCTGTTGTGAGAAACTAGTACTATAATAATACTGAATGATTGTAAACATGAATTTTGATTAACAAATGCCATATTCCATGAATAAACTAATTTATTTTCTTTTGTATACGAGTAGTGCTGATATAATTATAAAGAAACAGATTAGATTGTCTAGTTCAATTAATATTTTCTGTATTTAGAATTAAAGTCTTTAAGACAATAATAAATTATATTTAGAGATAATATCAGTTCTCATCATTAATACAACTTATTGCTTATTATATACTAATAATAATATCAATTTTATTGATTACATTTCTCTAGTTATATCGAATTTCGTAGATTGAGAAAGTCGATATGTTATGTGTTCTGTGGTAAACTTTATATTGATTAGATTATTCTTTTTTCATCTATAGATAAACTGTGTGAAAGCAGAGAAGCTATTCAAAAACATACGATTAGATGAGTGTTTTACATTTGAATGGGAAAGAGTTAAATATATAAAGGTAATGCATTGATCTGTTAATAAATTTATATTTACATTTGATAAGAAACTAACAATAAACAGATTAAGTTATGCATAATTGAATCGTTTTTCTTTTTTTTGAAAAATATTCTCATCGACTATTTGAAGAATAAATTTCTGTTTTTTTTCATTATTGATTAGTTTAATCATATTTGACAAATACGTTCAAATAGTAATTTATGAGATTAAATAGATAGGGTAGTACCACTTAAAAATATATAGATTTTTATTGGTGCTTAATCATACGTTGTATAATAAAACACAATAATATGATGAATATTTTATACAATATTATTCCCTGCTATAGAAGTAAGAAAAAACGTCGACGGTCTTTTTTTTTTCTTTTTATTATATATTAAAAAATGTTTTTAGAAGGAAAAAAAACATTCGTTGAGGAAATTTAATGGGTTTAAGATTAAGGATATTTGATCAACACGTTTTAACATACTTTTTGTGTGTCCGTGAAAAATGTTTACTTTCTATTCTAAAGAAAAATGTATCCTTCTCTTTCGATCGATTCCTTTATAAACCCGCAGGTATTTTTTATTATTATCTTGTTATGTCATTTTTTTTCTTGAATCTTATTCATTAAGTGTTATTAATTAAAAGGAAACCAAACAGTTCATTATCAATTTTAGTTTGTTAACATGCACGATTACTTACTTTTTCCGTTGATCTCGTGTTTACTTTTTTTAGTTCATATATTCTCTATTGTTCCGGCATCTATCAAATTAAGTTTAGTTTATCTAAATTAGACATTTAATTTAACTTGATTTATATTTAAAAATAAGCAGGTACTTTTCTTTTTCTCTTTTTGTAATGACATTCTTAATCTTTGTTCCCATACATGCAATAAAGTTTTTTTATGATAGAATATGAAGTCAAGTATAAAAAATATTTGATACAAATAAAAATATTACTCAAAAGGTATTTGTATAGAAATCTGAATAGATATTATGACTTTCTTTTTTTCGAAAATTAATAAATAAAATCAAATTATGACATTTTTTTTTTATGTTGTATAATAATAGTCGATAGATTGATTATACATTCTTTCTTATCTGTTAAGTATTAATAAATAAATAATGCGTATAAATAAATAAATATTGTTCATTAGAAGAAGATTTCTATGTTTTTAACAGGAAACTTGACTTATTTAGACATAACTTCATATTCTTCATTAACTAATTATATATAGTCTGCATAAGAAAACACCAGGAAATATTAATTGAAAAAAGTAGTGTAATTATTTATGAAGAGGAACTACTCATTTCATTCATCTGTCATGTCTATGCCAGTAGGATATATAGTATTATAGAAAATTTATTCCCATTGACTTTTTCTAACAACGTAAATTTCATTTGTTAGATAAGGGAGAAAGAGTATATGTTATTCATTTACACTACAGATGCCTTTGATATAATCATAAGATGGATTATTCTGGGGTATATATTCATCATCTATTGTTATTGTTATATTCTTATCAAAAGAAAATTTTTCTTCCAGAGAAAAGAATCTTAATAAATTCATACAATAAGAATTCTTTTTTTCTTAATTCAAGATTATATAACTCTTAACTTTTACTTATTTACTGCAAGTATATAAATATATTAGCAGCTTTTCTTTTTCGTTCATACATTTTTTTCTTTAAACTTATATGGTTTTCTTTTGTAATTATTTTTATGGTTCAATGATTTCTTAAATAAACAAAATTATATGCATGTTTTTTTTTTGTGTATCTATTGAGAAACAAATATTGTTTATAGAAACATTACATTAGTCATTTCTTATGTATCGATATAAATACTTTGTTTATGTTAGAGTCAATAGAATTTTTTTTTCTGAATGTCAGTTTTTATTACCTACATATATATTATTTATTTCATCTTTTTTTTTGTAGTATAAATCAATTTTAATCATAATCTTTTCTCTTTCTTCCTTTTTTTTATGTTTACAATCATAGAACATACTCTGACTAATGTTTGGTGATGACAAGTACAAATAACCTTCATCAGCTATTCTCGTACCATATCCAGTTTCTTATTTTCTCTTTTTTTGATTAATATAAACTGAGAAAGAATAGAATAATGTCGTCTACTACGACTTATTCTTTACAGATGAATAGTAAACGTGACTATTCTAGATTTTGCTGGTGATATTTAAGAATAAGATATAATTGTTTTTGAGCATTTCTTTTTAATGAACTATATTGAGAAAAAGAATGACAAATCGATAGGCTCAGGATGAGAATAAAATATTAGACAAGAGTTTTCCTTTTTCTTCTTCTTCTTTCTTTATTTTCTTATGTGTGTTCGTCTTCTTCTTCTTCTCCTCTCCTCTTCTCTTGTCTTCTCTTCTCTGCTTTTCAACCCATCGCAATCAATAGTTACTATTAGACGGATGTGCATCGATACGACGAGTGTCACATACTAATAATTTTAATAATATACAACATCTTTTGTTTGATAGATACATTCATCTCGAAAAAAAACATTTTATATACTATAACAATAAGGTATGCTACGAAAAAATAATATATATATAGAGACCACTTTTACTCTCTAGTGAGAGTTGTTAAATAGGTCACTTTGTTTTCCATTTCTTAGTTTATATATATATATTGTTCTAAGAAATTAACGTCAGAAAGAAATAGACAAGACATTCTACGTAGAAATAAATTTCGTTTTCTTTCTTATATTTGAAATTAGCCAGAAGGATCTTCAGAATATAAATCAAATTAAATGATCTAGCTAATTTCATGGTACTTACTCTTATGACAATTGTTTGATGTGTAGATGGAGTGCCATCATTTCTATTACTTGTCAAATAACTTTTTGTTTTTTCTATTTTCTCTTTTCTAGAAAAAAGAACAAGTCTATGTTAAAAATAAATAACCGAATCACATCGAACAAATAAGAAATGGATTCGTTGAATTTAACATATACAATTGCATGTAATGCATCACCACCTGGAACAATCTATATGCATTCAGCACCACCTATTCCACCATCATATTTAAAAGCAACAGCTGTTTTTGTTTATACTCTATTGAGTATTCTTACTGTTGGTGGAAATGCACTTGTATGTCTTATTGTATTTCACTTTATGGGTGTAGTTACAGTGACAAATTTATTTATTGCTAATTTAGCTGTAACAGATCTATTGATCGGTCTTTTTTGTATTCCAATTGTACTTATATCAGATTATCTTTTATCAGATTGGCCATTTGGAACATTTATGTGTAAATTTACATCATTTGCACAATCTGTTTTTGTTGTATGTACAGTTTATACATTAATAGCAATGTCAGTTGATCGTTATATAGCTATAATACATCCATTAAATCAAAAATTAACAAGAAAACAATGTCGAATATTAATTGGTTTACTTTGGACATTTGCATTAGTATTTAGTTCACCAATATTTATTGATATGCATATACGTCATACTTGTTTTCATCGTGATTCGAATAATGAAACAGAATATACCCAAACATTATGTGAAACAATTGGTCTTCCACCAAAATTACAAACAGCTTATAATGTTGCAACGATAACTATTATTTATTTAATTCCATTATGTGTTTTAACAATAATTTATATACGTCTGGGATGGCAATTACATCAAACACGTGCACCTGGTGAAGCACATTCAGAACGTGATGCTAAAATAAAAAAATCGAAAAAAAAAGTTATTAAAATGTGTTTTGTTGTTGTTATTATGTTTGGTGTTTGTTGGTTTCCAATGCAATTATATACAAATATATTACATTCATATTTGGATGCAATCTTTCATCAAGAATATGTTCCACATGTTTATTTTGCTTTTCATCTTATGGCTATGAGTAATTCATGTGTTAATCCAGCTATTTATGGTGTTATGTCTTCGAATTTTCGCGCAGGTTATATACATTATTGGCATTGGTTAATAACATGTTGTGGTTTATCAAATACACGTTTTGATATTAAACCGGATCGAAGAGAAGATATTAAAAGGGAAACAACATTCCAAATTCATCATAAATCATATGAATTAACTGTAAAACCTCCTATTGATTTTGATCGATCAAGTAATACATCGATACCATGTTCACTACCATTGATATCATCTCAAAGAGTATCAGCAAACGAGTAAATTCGTTATCGTGTGTTTTTTTTTATATAAAAAGAAAAATCATAGGAGATATTTTCAAAAAAAATTATATATATATATATATTTTATGCATATTGATTAATTATTTTTGTTGTTATTGTTTTTCTTTGTATAAAGAATTTTATGTCAATGAACAGCATAGATTAACAAAGTGTAAGTTAAGAAAAAAAAAACTTTTTTGTGATTTAATTTTTGCAGAGAAAATATTTTATGAAGAATATTTCAAAGTGTTTTTTTGAACTTGACAAAGACGACATTTTATTTCTTAATATGTTTTTCTAGATTCTTATAAGAACAGAAAATACTTCCTATAAATACGTTGTTTTGATAATATTTCCGGTGAACTATCATGTAATAGGATACTTCACATGCCAAAATATTGTTATATCACTAAAAATAATAATACGGATATTGCTTTAATTATCAAATTGAACTTCATCATTATCGACATTACAAATCTATTTTTAATTATATACATTCATCGTAAAATTCTTTCTATCTCAATCTATATTTAGTATTCTATTAATATTCTAACTAAGAGCCGCCTTCTATTGAAAGTAAATCTCTGAAAAATGAGTATTAATTTATTCTAAGTCATATGAAATTGTTTTTAGATTACATTAGCACTAATAATCTCTGTAATATGACCATAATGGTTATATTAGTGATTAGTAAAGGTCGCAATATCTTCGAAATAGAAAATGTTATCAATTTCCATAAAAAATTAATAATCTCATTAATTATATATATCGAATATTGAGTAAATTTATCATAAACTGAAGTTATTTTTCCAAGTCATAAATAATTCTTTGGAAAGTCTATGTGCTTATCTATTATATGCGATAGAGTGCAAACAGACAGTGATTTGTTTTTTATTTTTATCATAGATCATTAGAATCTTTCTTCTCGTAAAATAAAGATATGTTAGACATGATAAAAGACGTCAACATTTCCATTACTATGATAATGTGTCTTAAATGAAGCAGAACCAAAACTATTCTAGCATACATCATGCTTGATCAAGCATTCGAAGTTTTTAAGTAAAAAAAGTTCTTCTTATAATGATGTTTTTACAATAATGTACAAGGCAATACATATTATTCTATCTTATTTTTACGATAATCTCTGGTTAATATAGCATATGTGTAAAAAAATGTGGAGGAGAAGTTATTATTATGTTTTTTGATTATGTTAAACAATCAGTACATCATTATCATATATATATACAATAGCTAATAAATTCGACATATATATATATATACACATAAAATGAATAAACAATTCGAAAGATCATTGATAATTAATCATCTTTCGAGAAGAAAAAAATTTATTTTAAAAGTATATTACATACGAATAATAACCAAATAAATATGTAATTGAAAGAAAATTGTATAGTTTTATTTGAATATGTAAATAATGATATTGGAGATATTTGAAAATAATCATAAGATACTGATTTAGCAAGACCAATTCGATTTAAATTAAGATCATAAATTGAATAAAAACGATTAAGAAAATAATCACCAAGAATCCATATTAAAGCTCCAGTGTTATCATGTAAATTAACACCTTGAAAAACTGTATAACATACATATTTATCATCGTCATTGAAAATCAATAAATATTGTAATACTGATAATGTAAATGTTGAATTACCAATTGAAAAATTCACATCGGGAAACGAAGAGAGTAAACGAGTGTAACAATCAACCATATACTATTTTGCATAAAAGAATAAAGATTTAATATAAAATCATATTATTACTGATCTTACTAATCCAGTTTCTTCATCAAATATTGCACCAATAGTAAGATGAAGTAATGCTATTTGAATTTTCGGTCCAATAATTAATGTTGTACCTGTATCTAAGATAGCACGACAATTTGAACATATTATTGTATTATTTACTTGTATACTATATTTAGAATAGAAAAAAAAAACAAAATTCGATTTAGAAATCATTTGTTTTACTTGTTCATCATAAATTCCCAATAGGCATGTATAATCACATTAACATAAGTGATTGAACCTGAATATTTAGTTGGATCTACGTCACCAAAGATGAGTTCACCACCGGGATAAGCATCGGGATCACTAATGAAGAAAGAAATATTTAATAAACTATCGATTATAATATAAAATATACGGATTAAAATAAAATGAAAAAATTGGATTGGTTATAAGACCTTGCTGCCACATATTATAGAAAATCGATGTTTGACCAGATGTGCCAAGTGATGAATAAGCAAGACCAAAAACTCCATCAAATGTTGATGTACTAAAACCTGAAATATTCTTTGCTTGAGCAAATGCTTGATTTGATATCGATAGATTTCCTATCTAATTCAAATTAAATAATTAATTATTAGTAATTAATTGTTCATACATACTGTTACAGTATCATTAACGAAAACACCATTAGCAAATGAACCATCTCCATATACAACTCCAAATGTAGCTCCATTAGCTCGAGATGTATTGGATTTATCTGAATCATATTTTGCTTTATTTTCTAAAATATATATACGATATTCAAAGATTATAAATAGAAGAATATTTACCACAACTAGAATGACATTGAATGGATGGTACCCATAAATCTGTAGAACCTGTATCAAAATCAATACGAAATGTTTTTCTTGGTGTACCAATTGAAATTAAACCAATCCAATAAAACTAAAAGAAAAAGATGAAAACTTTTGTTATTGTTATATCTTACATTAGCTTGATTAATTAATATTTCTGTTACTGGACTTGTTTTACCTATAAATCGTAATGAACTTTTGTAAGTTTCTCCTTCGATATCATTGTTTCGTGTTGGAACACCTGATATTCGATAACATGATATTCTATAAAATGAATATTTTCAGAAACAAACATAAAAGAAAATAATTACCGAGGTAAATCACTTGATGATGATACATTAGCTATCGAAAGTAAGAACACAACAATGTATAGATTCAACATTTTTAAAAATTAGTCCTATGAGTTAGAACGAAAAAACTATAACGAAAAATAGTCTTCCTCTTTCGTCTAAATATAAGATAAAAAATGAAATAATGTTTGATAATGATCATTTATTTGCTTATTTTGATGACACAAAAACCTATTTGATATCCTTCATCGACATACAATAAAACAACAACATTCTTTTCATTATATTTAAAAGATGAAAAAAAAATAATGATTTAGTATTTGAAATAGAAATTTTAAAAGATTATACAAGTAAAATCGAAAGTTATATAGGAAGATATAGTTAAAAAGTTCAAAGACTATGTAATCATGTCGTATGTCATGCATTGATTATTTTCTTAAATTTATTTTTATTTTAAAATAGTTATTGTTTACAAGACAAAATCAAAGAACGCACAATGAATATAATCACAATGAAAAAGAAATTAAAATTCTTGAAATACTGGTAAAATTTGATTGATACTTATGATTTGTTCAACTGGTCGTTTCTTATAACGACCAAATAGGACATGATTCAGTTGTTGACGAAATCGTTTTGATACACAAATATAAATATAAAATGGACTCTGAAATTATATCAGACATTTAATAAAAATCATCCTTTTATTCGTTTTACTTACGGCAAAATATAAGTAATAAATAAAACCAGTTATTGCAATAGCAAGAACTATTTGCATATAATTAGATGGATAATTTGTCGGTGTCGTCGACGTTAAAATAATTAGGATAGTAACATATGGTACAACAACGAAGAAATTGTGAACAACTTGAATAAGAACCATTGAAGTTAACTGCTTATCTAATTCACGTCGGACTATTGGTACTCTTCGAAAACGAATTTGTCTCACATTTCGATATGCTAATGTTCCAAATACTACTGTAATGAGTATTGGAAGCATACCAGTTAAAATCAGTGTATAACCATAAGTGAAATATTGTTGATAGTTTAGATTTATTATTGTGCAAGTAATATCATTTGTTCTTCTTGAAATAACTGGAGAAAACCAAATTAATGTTGGAACTCCGTGAAGAAGCCAAATAATAAAAAATACGATACATAAAATATATGCTCTTTTGATATTAAATAATTGTTGCCATCGAGAACGAAGTGAAGTAACTAAGAATTGATCAATCGTTGCTAAACACATACATGTTGATGATGTTAATGCACATACTTGAAGACAATAGTTTCTAAATTTACAAAATGATATTGAAGTTTCTGTCCAATTATTATTAAATCCAGTAATAAAAATTCGTGAGACTAAACTTGTTAATAGTTGGCCGATATTGAGAAAAGACATGATAATTAAGAAGAAAGCACATGAATTTTGTCTAAATGTTTTGAGACTAAGAAAAACAATAATATTAAGAATATTACCAAGAAGACCAGCACATAGAACTGGTATACCAAAATAGATTGCTACTTGTTTTGTAATATTAATCAACATGTCGTTTGTTAATGTTAACATTATGTAATGTAATCCCTACTGTAGTCTATAGAATGACTTCTTTTTAAATAATATTTCTCACTTTATGGTTTGGTATGAATGTGCTTTCTAGCTGGAAAAGTTTATTATTTTATAATTCTATTTATATATATCTTAATTAAAACACATGTTTGAAGTAGACAGAAAAGTATCCTGTGGGTAAAATTTTGCTAGAAATTATAATATTGTATTTTATAATAATTAATTGAATGTACATGTCGAGGATTTCTCTATATGCAGCACTGTTACGATTTGTTTTAGGGAACATTATTAATTAATTCGATGATGTTAACTATTTTTGTTGATGAAAGTATTATAGAAATTGTAACAACAAACACTCTATATTGATATAGTCCTAATAATATCGATGATACAATCCTAGTAAGAAGCAAAGTATTGTATGGAGTGTAAGTACGTATATGGGAAAGAGAAATAAACATTAACTATCAAAAATTTTTAATATTTAAAAATAATGTAGCGTAAAATGCTAAGACACGCATTGCGATTCTAAAATTAAAAATAAATCTTTTTAATTGAAGTTTGTTTATGCGTAATAGTTTTATGTGACTTGAGGTAGTGTTTCCTAGATTATTCTTCATATTATCATGCGCTTAGCCGTATATTGAGTGAAATATAATTTAATTATACGACGGAATATCAAAGAATTTAAATTTATTTTAAAACCTTCATTCTTACTATCATGTGGAATTATGAAAGTCCAGTTTCTTTATTCAATGTATTTAAAATGCTTTGGATTATACCAATGAATTCCTATGAATGTGAACAAAGTTTCTCATCGTTAAGAATATGAAAAAGTTATTTAAGAAATAGTATGGGACAATAAAGATTGTCAGGCGTTGCCTTTTTGAATATTCAAAAACATTTTGAAATTAATATAGATCAAATAGTAACAGATTTTGTTGCAAAGAAAGATGGTGAAGATGAGCAACGGTTATCCAGCTTCACCAAGAAAAACATAATGAAAGTGCAGAGATGATGAAATGAGAAAGAACAAAGACGACTAACATATGTACAGATATGTGAGGAGGAGAACAAAAAAAGAAAGATATGTGAGAGAAGAGAACAGAAAAAGAATATATCTGAAAGAAAAGAAAAGTACATTTTTTTTAACTGGTATGTTTTTTATTTAATATCACATTAAAAAAAAGACAGTTTCGTGTGTAACATGCATATAGGTTAGTTAGTTATACTTCATATACTTTTTCAAGTGTAATATGAGACTTAAAAATGTACACAAACAGCACAAATCTACTACCTAGATGAACAATAAAATAAATAAAAAAAACTAAAGTGCAGATCTTGAGTGCGTGGTATATTTGTTCTTATAAAATATTAATTTGCCGTATATATCAGAGTCTTATCGTTTATATGATTTTGATATCATTCTTCACTGCAACGGCGAACCAATATTCCATTTATCACATTACTATTTTTACTTTAATAGTTAGGCGTAACCCAAATCCAAACTATTAGAGTTTGTTGAGTATGAGTTTGAATCATGTCTAGGTTCGTTATTGAAAGAAGTAGATAAATCTGCGTTGGATCCAGGAGGGTATGGGTTATGGTAATAATCAAGAAGAGCAGCGTGCCGTAGATCACTGACAGGTGAGCTTGTGTTCTTGATTTCTTGCGATTCCTCCGCAATATTACTTTGTGTACAATTATCGCTGCGACTCATTTATATTTTTGGAGTGATAATTCCGTGTCCGAAAATGTATGAATTATAATGAATATATTTTCATTCAGAATCTTTCATTTTATAAGATTTTTCATTTGGAAAATCACAGCATTGTGCCAATACTTTTCCTGTTTTTTATTATGTAGAAAAAGAATGACGGCGCACTTTAGAATTCCCTTCATATACGTGTGCATATTTCACATTGTTATCACACATTGAAAACGGTTTTTTCTTTTTTCTAAATATAGACGAGACGAAAGATATTTCCTATACACTTTGTAGTATTTACCAACTTAGATTGTCTTTCTTTATAATTTGCATTGCATCACAATATCTTTGCGTAACTAATCATCTGATAATAAATGAAATATAATAAATTCATTTTCGATAATAAATATGCTGAAGATACTCATACATGAAGTGTAATAGAGAATGATAATTGAATATCGGTAATCTAAGCATTGTCAACATGATTGAAATCGTCTGATGAAAACTAAAAAAAACGTCTACAAAAAGTTATCAAGAATAATTATTTATCTTATACATACTATTCAATAAAATATTTACTTTCTATTTCAGTATGTCACGCAACAAACTAGCGATAATGTTTTACTATAAATATAATAAATTAAATCACAGATTTTATTAGACAATTAGTAAAGAATAATTCTTCACATGTTTGTATATATTTAAATGATCTGTTCATTAAAGAAAAGTAAAAATCAAATTTATTCATATAAGTTTTGTTGTTACATACTAACAGTAAAAGTAATATCCTCTTTTTGTTAAAAAAAAGAACATTTTTTCTTTCCTTTACGGAAATCAGTTCTTCTTTGTCTGCATATTTTCTTTATTAATTATCAATATATTACAATACTTATTGTAAATATGTAATAATATTTATTAAGAAAAGTTACATTTGTATGAAAGTCATAGGTAATTTATATATAAAAATGATATTATTTAAAGATTTAATATTTATACAGGACAATGTAATCATCTGTTATTCTTTAGAATAGTAGTTAGTGCTTATATCTAACCAAAATGAGATAACTTATTAATCATTATATTGATTTACATATTGTAGTACTATTAAATTTCATGTGTATTTATTAAATGTTTGATAGATACTGAATTAGCAGAACACACTCTGAATATTTGTAATAAAAAAACTTTGGAAGTTTATCGCACTATTATCGACTAATGTATTTTTTCAGCTTAGTTAAATAAAAGCGAGTATATACTCACAATTCATTCTATCTGTTTTTTATTACTTTACAAAAGGATATTGGTTTATTAGGAAGTTTTTAGATCACTTATACTGCTTAGATTTTATTAAATACATTTATAATCTACAAAATTCGGACAATGTTTGTGCTTGCCAAAATTAAAGTAAATAATTTTATATTTACTTCTATACAAAACTTAATCCTTCCGTATAGAGATTGTCTGTATCAAAGTATATCGATATTGTTTTTATTAATTATTCGAAAAATGTGGAAAAGCATCTTTATAACACATGAATAATTTAAGTATACTGCTAATGCTTTTATGTTCTTTTAATAAAATTAATGTCTGTGGAAAATGTCTCTTTATAACCATTAAATCTAGTTCTTATTTTAGTATATTTTACAGACTGATGACGCAGGCAAAAAAAGCATAATTAATTTGCAGGCATACTATTATATAATTCTAACCATGTGCTAGTAATCCAGTTTGAGATATAACAATGATTACATACTAATAAAGCAATTTTAATCGAAGATAAAATATTTCTCAAACAAAAAAAAATGAAAAAGTTAGAAACTTTTTGAAAGAGTTTGATTATCATTCAGTGAGAAGTGGAATTTCAACAAATTGTTAAATATATATAAATTCCTGCGTTTTTTTTATCTAGTCTATATCAAAAATAGAATCAATATTATGCAATCTTTAATTTGCATTATTCCATAAACAGTTTTTTAATTTTCTACAGAATTATTTATTAATACATCCATTGTAAGTATCATTATGAAGACTTCTTTCAATATTAACAAACATTATTATAAGATAAAGACGCATTTTGTTTTCATACATTAAAAAATCTACGCAATTTATATGTAATGAAGATTGTTTTAGAATTCGGTATAATTTTCATTAGTATATGTCGAGTACACAATTTTAATTATGTTTCGTATACATCTATAAACTATTTGCTCTTCGATTTGAACTATATGACATAATAATTCCATCGAAATAAATATGTAGTACTTCAATTATAAAATAGAATTTATTTAATCATGTCACTAGCTGAAGATTAAATCGTTAAGCTACAAGTTACAATTTAATCTAGTGTAATAATTTGTTTTTTTTACGGTATATAAATCTCTAATAAAACAGATTATTGACGTAAGCCGTACGGCTGAGCAGCCGCCACCGATGAACTGAAGGAAATTAAAGCCGCCATCGCTGTGACAGTAGAAATTTTAAAAACTTATAAGCCGCTGTCGTTGTAAGACCGTGGAATATCAAATCTACGCCGCCCTCTATTACCCTACCGACTTACACCTCAAGATGCATACGACACTGTGATATTTGATTAATAATACAAAATAAACAACGTATAAATAAAACTAATTTATTATATAAATAGATATTTTTTTATTTCGTTCGATTGAACATTTAAGACATATTGTTTTAACAATAGTTTTCCTTCTTCATATACAATTTTAAAAAAGTCCCTAGAAAATGCATGTTTATTTGAATAAATTAAATAGATATAAATGAAAAATACTCTAAAGAACTTGTTTATTATTAAAAAAAAAGATTTTAATTTTAATTTCTATTATATACATAATGCTAATTTTTAGTATTATTTTCAGATTTAATAAATATTTTGTATAGAATGACAAGTACCATAAATAGAATAATCCATTAGTTATTTCATTACCTCAGCTTTTTTTTCCTATTAATGAAAACCTTTAACAGTTAACATACTTATTATAATATAAAAGTAAAGTAAATGTTACTCTATATTAAATTGTTTAAAGAAAATTTTGCATATTTCTCTTTGTAATAAATTTATTTTGAATAATTATAAAATAAGAGAAATATTTTTGGTCTGTTATGTGGAAAATATGAAACAATAATGGTTAATAAATATGTTCATAATTATTTATTTAGGCTCTAGACATATGTCATTTGCAGGTACTATTCGTCTTCGCCATCGATTAAAATGAAGTTCAAAAAGAACATAAAACAATTGTTGACGAAATCGTTTTGATACACAAGCATATATATAAAATGGATACTAAAAAATAAAGAGTAGAAATTTAAGAATATTAAATATTTTTATATATCAGATAGATACTTACTGCAAAATATAAGTACAAGATACAAGCAGCAATATTAATACTCAATGAGAATTGTGCAGAACTAATAGGATTACTATTAATATTTGTAACCATAGGAAAAACATTTAATATAAAATATGGTAAAAGTGCAAAGAAACTGAATATAATTTGAATTAATACCATATTTGTTAATTGTTTGTCTAATTCACGCCGGACCAAAGGAATCGTTCTATAAGCTATTTGTCGAACATTCCTATATGCTAAACTTCCAAATGTAACAGTAATTAATAATGGTAAAGCACCAGGTAGAATAATATTATTCATATAAACATGGTATTGTTGAAAATTCACATTCGAATAAGTACAGCTAGTTTGATTTGTAGTTGAAGATACAATTTGATTATAAAAGATTAAGTATGGAATTGAATATAATATCCAAAAAATCGTTGATATTACCGTTAATCGGCGAGCTAATTTAATATTACTCCATTGTTGCCAGTAAACATGACTACATGTTGCTAAAAATTGATCAATTGTTGCTAAACACAAACATGTTAAAGAGATAAATTGAAACATTTCAACACCAAATGCTCGAAATTTACAGTAAAATGCTGATCTTATTGTTAAATCAATACTAAATCCAGTAATTAATACACGAGATAATTGGCCTGTGATGAGTTGACCAATATTGACAAATGACATAAACATTAGATAAAATGCACATGAATTTTCTCGAAATGTTTTCAAACTAAGAAATACCACAATATTGAGTGTATTACCAACTACACCAATTAAAACAGTAGACATACCCATATATGTAACTGTATATTGAATAGCTGACGTTATATACGAATTGTATGAGGACGACATTATGATAGAGATATAAATTCAATTATATAAGCACGTTAGAGTGTCGTATAAATAAATAGAAGCTCAACACTTTCTACAATGATTTTATGTTAATAAACATTCCTTTTTATTTCTATAATCCAGACATAAATTAATGCGTAAATTATTTTTATGCTATTTATAAATATGTTTGAAGTAAGGTTGAGCTAATTCAAAGCCCGAGGAATTTTTTTCATGCTTCGATGCAGCTCGACGCGTTAATTCAGAATAGTCTTTCAAAAAACAAGTTTTTTTATGTCAAAAATGTAAAAAAACTAGACCTACAGTTTCTCTATAAAAACTTGCTGTAGCTTTCAAAGATTGTTTTTCTTCTAGCCCTTGTATATATGATCCAGAAACGTTGTTTATATTAAGAGCTTGAAAACTCGATTTCTTTCATGAAAAACACATCAAGTCATTTTTAAGAACACATACAGTTTTTATTCGATCGCCGTTAGATTCTCCATATAAAACTGATAAAAGCTAAGCATTTTTCTCCTTTAGGTCGCTTTCTTTTCTGAAATATGAAAGTTCCATTCACAATTTCAAGATGGCTTTTGACATAAAAAAATGACTTTAGTTTTTTGAAAGACTATATATATTCTAATTCAGCGCGTCTAGTTGCATCGGAGCATGAAAAGATGCTCTAGTTTTGAATTAGCTCAGCAACATCACAATGATGGTAGCAATTCTTTATATAGTTAATATCAACGAATTACTATTTTATTTAAATATCACGCTTTTCCCTCGTGTGATATTTCTTTTTCAATGATTTTGATAATTAGAAAAAACTTTAATTTTACTAGACGACAATGACTTTGAAGAAGATATGCTAAAATAAATTTTTTGTGCATCGAAAATCATAATGATTCTATTCATAGAAGTGGCCGAGATTCATTTTTGAAGTCATTGAATCGTTCCAGTTCAAAAAAACTATATTAAGGTTTATCTGTCCTTATGTCATTTTGTTCCTATAAGGAATATATTTATCATTGTGCTTCAAGTAAGAAATAAGAGTATTTGCCCAATTGAATATAGATAAATCATTTATTTAACCCTTTGGCAAAGGATACGATCTATATATCACTTGAAGTATTTCTCCAAAAACGAATATTGCAGAGCTGCTGCGTTCACCACAGAATCAATTTTATAGTCTTATCGAGTTTCTATTTTCACAAATGGCGATCTCAATTTATAAAATTTCGTATATTAATAAATACGGATCAAATAATATTTAATGAACTTTAAATATGTTTTTTTCAAATGTTTTTATCATACAATAGGATTATTATTATGAGCTTGAGCTTATTATCTATTTGTTTTTTTTGCTCCAAAGGAAAACTTATTAATTTTATAAATTAATAGACATATTTTTCATTTCTCATAAAACCGGCTATATAAAAAATAAGAAGATTAATGAAAGACTAATACTAATTATTTCTGGATGAGACAGACGTTGTTTATTATGAACATTGATTTATAAATTTAATAAGTATTTGTAGACTTACACTAATATATTTACTAAAAAAATTATACAAAACTTAAACTATAGCTTACCATAAGTTAATAATAAGTTTTATAATTTATTTATTTCAAATAAAATATCTTATTTCATACAATGAGATTATATAAATGTAAATATAGGAAATGATATATTATAATTATTTGTATACACATATATTGTATCTAATTAGAATCTGATAAGATTCAATGAATCAAGTCTTCGTATCATATTACATACTAAATCGATCTATGACATCACCATATAGAAGATTTTTATCTTCTTTGATCTTGATCGTTCTCTTATAAAATAGAATGATTCATTTTTATTATCTACTTATTCACTTCTGTTCTTATATGTACAAATTATTTGGTAATAATTGTTCAATATAATACTTATACTAGAAATCATTTTTCATATGTATACGTCAACAATTCAAATATGAAGGTCATATCTGTGCGTTACTTAATTTATCTGCAAGAGAACTACTCATACATTCACATACTTCTGCGAGTAAAGAAATAAAAAACGAAGAAGAAAAAAAAAGGGAAGAATACAATAACCAAATGTTTGTGTCTTCTGACATTTCAACATCATATAGAAACAGTCATGGGCAATAAACTATTGAAAAGTAAAAGTAAAAAAATAAATTATACGGAACTTACAGATCATCAAATTGAAATGCTTGTTTCAACAACAAAATTTTCATCTCAACAAATTCGTGAATGGCATCATAGTAAATTATTTCCTCCCCGAATTTTTTATTTATCTAATTTTTTTTTCTTATAAAAGGTTTTATACGTGATTGTCCATCAGGTTTATTCAGTTACATTTATTTTTTTTTGTCAATATTTTCATTCCTAGGTAAACTTGATCGAAAACAATTTATTGAAATTTATCAACAATTTTATCCACAAGGAAAAGTAAAAATATCTGAAAAACAAAATTTTAGAATTCTTTTTTTTCTAAATTAGGCAAATGCGTTTTGTACATTAGCATTCAAAGCATTTGATCAAGATAAAAATGGTTTGAAGTATTTTATTACTATATATTACAATAAAACAATTGTTTAGGTTACGTCGATTTCAGTGAATTCTTATCAGCTATTGCTTTAACTATGAGTGGTAAAAAAATTAATACGAAACATTTAGTTTTTTTTGTATTTCTATTAAATATTATAGGTGAAGTAAAAGATCGTTTGAGTCTTGCTTTTTCAATGTATGATATTAATGATGACGGTACATTGGATAAAAAAGAAATAGGTTCGATTTTTTTCTAATTTGATATTAATCATATTTTTTGTTTTTAGCCCAAATCATTAAATTGATCTATGAAATAAACGGAAAAGTAAATCTTAAACAAGAACTTTCACCACAAGATAAAGCTCGTATGATTATTGAAAAATTTGATCATGATGGTGATAAAAAACTTTCACGAGAAGAATTTATTAATGGTTGTTTAAATGATTCTGAAATACGAAAATTACTTGCACCTTAGAAAAAAAAATTTTTTTTGTTCTTCCTTTTTGTTGTATTATATTTTATTTACACACACAGTCAGTTATATTCTTCGCTTATATTTTAGAGAAATAAATTGATAACTATGTTTGCTCTTCCCGAATTATTCAGGAAGAATAATATTCAAGTAAATTTTGTTTTATCGATATTTAGAACAATACTTTCAGATTGTTAATCTATAATGATTGATGATGTTATGTGCGTGACAAACAAATGACAGATTAATTTAGCCTTCAGATAGTTTACCTATATCAACAATAACTTATCCTTAATAGACATTGTGTTAGGACAAAAATTATATGCTTGAGGGGAAGAAAAATATATCCTAGTTCAATGAAATTTCGTTATTTTTGCAGGAATGTATGTGATTTTAAGGTTAAGTGCATGAACAATTATTTTTTCGTTTATCTTGACGAAGAAACGAATGAAATGTATCTATGATATATATAATTATTCTGAATATGATCATTGAAGCGTAACAAAGAAGAAGAAAAAAAGAGAATATATCTTTCTCTCTATCTTCGTTTAACATTAAAGTATTGATATTCGTTACTACCTTCGTGGTAGTCACGAGTTTATCTATGTACAAAGTTTCGCATTACAAATCAAACACAATGTCGTTTTATAAGTAACAAATATGATCTGCTTATTATGTAATTATTGATAACAATATTGGATTAATTCAACTTGTCTTCTTGGAATCTCACTACCGACATTTCATGTCTTTCAAAAATCTTTGTTGTTTCTTTTTGTTTTTTATGTAAAAATTATTTATTTGAAAAATGTTCTTAAAATAAAATTTGATTGTTCTATAAATATAAATGTGCGACCCCTGTTCATATTTATATTGTATATGATAGCGTGCTGGCTGATGATTTGACAAATAATATACGTACGATATAGAACAACCTATCGAGGAATGTGTGTGAAATGTGTCTACATGCAATTTACATTGACAAAAATTTTTTATATAATATGTCAATGAACAACAATTGATTTTGAATGTCAAATATTCATGGATAGATAATAGTCATTGAACTGACAATTTGATGAAGTACGTTTTTTTTGTCGTCAGATCTTATTTATATAAAAGGATTGCTTAGAGCGAATATATTAAATTAAATTGAACGTTTTCAATAGTATGATGTCACAAATGTAAAAGAAAATAAATCCAGCTTATCATTTATATGACGAAATGTCGATTGGTATGAATGATCTGATACTATAGTTAGCAGTTGTCAATGAGAGGAGTTCGAAAAACATAGATTTTTTGATTAGTTATATAATTCATCTTTATTTTAGATTTTAATTGCAGACCATCAAATCAAGCAAAAAATGGAAATAGATAATGTTTTACCCAGTCGAAAATTTGCATTCAGTATAGGTCATTTTCTTAATGATTTATGTGCATCTGTATGGTTTTCTTATTCACTTGTATTCTATCATCGTGTAGCAAAATTTTCAAATAGTTTTGCTGGTTATCTATTATTAATTGGTCAAGTAGCAGATGCTCTATCAACTACATTTGTTGGTTTTGCTTCAGATAGAACGAAATATGGTCTATGTGGTAAACGAAAATCATGGCATTTGCTCGGTTTGTAATTTATTATTCAATTAAACAATTATTTCAATATGTATATATATATACAGGAGTCATTTGTGTACTTTGTTCATTTCCATTTTGTTTTCAATTACAATATCCAAGTCTTTCAATTATATTTCCATCATCATCATTTCTTTATTATACAATTTTTATAATTTTATTTCAATTTGGTTGGGCATGTTCACAAATTGGACATTTAGCAATGTTAAATGAATTAACACCAAAAGATGGTGAACGTGTTGCATTAAATGCTTATCGACATGCTTGGTCAATTGTTGCAAATATATTTGTTTATGCTGTTACTTGGTTATTACTTGATAATAATCAAATAAAAGATAATATTCAAATGAATGCAAATGTTTTTCAAGTAAAAATTAATTTATTTGAATTTTATAATAATTTCATTTTCTAGACGTTGACTACTGTTATTATTATTACTGGTTTTTTTACATCTCTGATATTTCATTTAGGTTCAAAAGAAGTAACATTTGCAACAAGTAGGAGTATAAAAAAATCAATACAATATAATCTAAGAATTTCTTTTAGAATATTATAAACCTCTTTCATCTCCAACTCGTACATGGCGTGATTTTTTATGTGATAGTCAATTTTATTTTATTTCAATTATTTGGATGTTAACACGTGTTATAAGTAATGTATCACAAGTTTATCTACCATTATATATTATGGATACAACAGATGCAAGTCAAGTAGATCGAGTTTGTTTAATAAATATGATATTTTTTTTGTTCATATAATAAATTTGTAATTAATTGTTAGACATTAATTGCAACAGGTCCATTATGTGTTTATGTTAGTGGTTTTATAACATCATTTCCAATGCGTACAATCAATCAATATCTAGGACGAAAAATAACAATGATTGTTGGTCTTGTTACTATTCTTTTATCATCATTTTTATTTTGGTATATTTTTTCATTAAAAGAAATTTTTGGTATATCAATGCAAATTACAATTCTTTGCGGTGCAATATTACTTGGAATTGGAATAACAACAGCACAAATTACATCAAGTGCATTTACATCGGATTTAATCGGACAAAATACAGTAAGACATAGAAAGATGAATATTTATTTACTGATGTATTTTAATTTATATAGGAAAGTAGTGCATTTGTTTATGGAACTATGTCATTTTTGGATAAACTAGCTAATGGATTAATCATTGCTTTGATTCAACAATATAATCCTTGCAGGTATGAATTGATTTTAATTTAGTAATTATATATTTTTCTTTTCTAGTACATGTACAAGTTGTTGTTCATTGTTTTATCGGAGAATTCTTTCTTTTATACCTGGCATTATTTCTATATGTACATTAATAGTATTAGCAAGTATTGGACGTATGTATCGTGGTGTTGGAAAGATAGATGCATCACCACAATCGATAATTTCTTTCGGAAATCGAATATTACAACGTACTATGAAAATGATATTAACAAAAATTCTATGATAATGAACAATAGTGAAGATATTAGTCGGATATTTTTTTACTGTTAAAAAAATTGTTGAATATTTCAGAGAATAAACTGAACTACTTTGTTTTCAGAATAGTATTTAATAATTTATATGGAGAAAAAAATATTGTGAAATTATATTTTATATTTATAAGAATTTGAATAAACGCTATACAGAGATTTGCTTATATCTTTTTGGAAAATCTTAAGAAAAATAGATGACATTTGAGTTTCACTCAGTTCTGAAATGCGATGCGAAGCTCCAAATTTCGAAAAACGAATAGTCATTTCTAAGAATGAGCATGGAGTTAGTTTCCCTGAAAACAGCATTTGCAACTTACTGAAACTTGTACTCTGCTGTTATCTATCTCTATGAAAAAGCGATGTCTCTGTCAATATGTTTACAAGTATTCATTCACTTTAATATGTCGATAATATGTCAATATTTACAATAATAAACATATGAAATATTTTCTTTTTCACACATCCAAGATGATTCTGGTAGTGCATTCACTTGTGCATCAATGGGAAAATCCTTCAAATGGAAAGAAAGATAGTAATGACTCATCTAATTTTTTGATGAACCGCTTCTGATAACAATGATGAGAGACTATATGACATATAATCAACAATAAAAAATGATTTTTTCATCAGCATATAAGATTAAATAATTAAAAGAATATCCACATGTTATTCCCATACCAATCTAGTATCAATATGATCTGAACATAGTCATAAAAAATAAAACTCGACATATTTAACAACGACTAAGATACTCATTAATTATTGTCATGAACTAATCACATTCACAACCACACCCTCGTTATAACATTCGTAAGAGCAACTACATTAATCTAAAAATATTTCAATGTCATCTGAATTACTGCAATTATCTTCATTATCAGTTCTTGATTGTTTAGACATAGTGCATGTTGATGAAAAAGCTCTCACATTTGACTAGAACTTACATTTTTTCTTTTGTACAAGCCTAGCAGATTCATGACTATCATTTATTATTTTTTCAAGTTCTTTTCTTGACAAAAGCTTCTTGGTCATTATTATTTTCACCTTCGTATAACAATGAAAAAAATTGTAAACTAATATTCACATGATGACTCTTAATTTTTATTCATTCATTTGTTTCTTTATCCATTTGCGCATCGTGATATTTAAGCACTAAAATATATGAGAGCTCACTCTATCTCATTAGTAAAATTTCGGAGGTTTTCGGAGGTAGTCGGAGTCAGAGTCAAAAAAATTGACTCCGCAGGTCCCTACCCTCGACGGCTTTTGACATGAGGAGCGAATTATTTCATTCCCGCACCTATATTGTTTTTTTTTTTGGCGCTTGGCACCCAAACCGACTTTGAAAATTCTATCAGGGTCCATGCTCCGGGTCTGGTCGGATCTGGGTACCCGGTCGGGTTGAAAGACTCTATTGGAACGTCGTTTTGCTATTGGCAAACAGTTAAGTTCAACAGATGGAACTGCTTTTGGATAATCGCCAACGCTGTTATACACGTTACTAATTTTGTTATAGAAACTACCCAAGTGAGGACGATTGGAGGGAAGTGATTGTTGTCGAATAGCAAGAGCTTTCTCATGATAAGAAAGTGCTGTTGGATAATCACGCATGTTATAATACACCAGACCGATGCTGTTGAAGGAACTGCCCAAATCAGGATGATTGGAAGGAAGTGATTGTTGTCGAATTGCAAGGGCTTTCTCATGATAAGAAAGTGCTTTTGGATAATCAACCATGTTGTAATGCACCATACCGATGCTGTTATAAGAAGCACCCAAATCAGGATGACTGG